AGTCTGGAGCCCCCTCCTGCATCCTGAACTCCTCATTTTTTGCCCCACCCCGTAGCCCCCCCCCCCCAGCCAGAGCCCTCATGTCCTCCCACACCTCAATCCCTGAGCCAGCCCAGTGAAAATGAGCGTAGGGTAGGGGAGAGTGAGCGGCGGAGGCGGGGATGGAGTGAGCGGGAGGGGTGGTGCCTCAGAGAAGGGGCGGGACAGGGGGCGGGGCAAGGGTGTTCGGTTTTGTGCCAGTAGAAAGTTGGCAACCCTACGTACAGCTCTGAGGGAAAATTCATGGCAAAATTCCTAATCCCCACAGGATCTTAATGCACTTGGCCTGAGGGCGTCTTGAAGTGGTCAATCATCTTCTGCTGTGCACGAAGCAAACCAAGAAAAACTTTCTTTCCAAGCCAAAGAAAATCTTAGAAGGCACATCCATTTGAGAAAGGCCCTGACATTGGGCCCTAGCCAGTGCATTCTAAACTTTGTTATCCAATAGGTCATGCAAAAGTTATTTTTTATGTTTCAAGCTCTCATGCAACCCAACATCACTACTTCCATGAACTTCCTATATCCATTATTCCCCTACATTTCCATTGGTCAAAGGGAAATGCATTTTGGTCATCAGTTTTTTTCAGTCTATACCGTTTCTGTTTGTCAAACTCACACACAGAGACATGTCTCATAGTATGCTGAGCGGACAAGAAAGACTAGTTTCCTGACAATCTATCTGTCACCTCTACTCCACGTTTCCCCTTCGTTTCATCCAGAAAACTCCCCTCAGGGAGTTCAGCACCCAAAGAATCTGTGAGTTCATCATCCCCCACACTCTCAGACTGAGTATCACTACTGACCTCAACAGGGGGAACCTCAGAATTCCAGCAGTACAAATTTGGTAACAGAGTGGAGAATCAGGCCCAGGTCTTCTACGTTCTTTTGTTGTAAGGGTTGAACATTCTGATTCCGGTGCTGTCAAGGTTCCTGTTCCCTTTAGCTTGCATCTGCTTGGGTTTTAGTGCACTCCTTTGGTCGTCCATCTCCCATTTTAGCTGGCCAGTCTTACCTACTTCTTGAAGCACCACCTTCTTTTCATTTCTGGGTTTCCTGATCCTATTGTTGCAAGCAGCTACCTGCATTTCCATTTTAGCTGCCTGGACAATGGCGAATTGGCCTTCTAGTACTTGGCTTTATATCACTTCTACGTTTATGAAATAGGCCCAGATTAGGAGATCTTTTTGACTGGGACACACTCTGGGAAGCCTTTGACAGCTGGTTGCCCAAGCCCATGGCTAAAGACACAAGGGAACTCCCTTCTCTCCCTCCTTTGGAGAAAAGTTGTTTAAAACCATTGGGGGGCTCATGACAGTTTAGTGCCTGTTGGAGGGCATTCTTAAAGTGCAGTTCTACTTTGAAAAGGTAATCTGTAAAAAAATGATATTGTCTCTAAATGATTTCCTTATCAGTTGTGGATGGTTTACAAATAAAACAATGCATTCTCTAATTGCTGGCACTATAAACTTCACTGGGATCTGGGAGTTAAACTGGGTTCTTTTCTTTTTGCACGTTATCACCAGGTTCTGCATGTTGGCTTGTGTCCTTAGTGACCCTTGTGCAAGCTCACTGCCTTCAGCGTTCAATTAGCTTCCCATGTCATCGTCCCCATGGAGCAGAACCAGTAGCAAGTTGCACCCAGGACAACAGAGGCAGATGAAGACATCACAGCCTACTACTTTTTCTTGAGTCCTGTATTAGTTACAATCCTGGTCCAAGTGGAATCCTGTCAGGGCTTAGATTCCATAGTACAAAGGCCTTTATGAATAGCTAAGATAGATATAATCTACACATGGGGTAGGGAGAGGAGAGTAAAACCTGCTATCCCACCCTTTAAAGTATCTTGTAGCCTGGGGGAAATCGGGAGAAGCACCCCCATCCCGGGCAAATTCCTTCCTGGCAGCATGTCAAACGAGCACAAACATGAGGAGTCTTTCATAGTGTGGCTGAACATAATTTACATATGTTAAGCCTCCTTAAATCTAGGGACCAAAACCTATTCTGATTCCTCCCAGAGTGTCAATTCCATGTCTTTTTGCAAACATGCCAAGCCACTGTCAAGGTGTATAATGGCTGTAGTGCTTATTTAAGGTTTATCCTCCAACATCATGACTTTCGTTGGCATTTGATGGTAACTTCTGCTTTACTATATCTGGGGGAGAAGATTATAGAGGACTTAACATTCAGGACAGAAAGGGTGGTTTTATCTGCAAATCAGGAAGCTAAGAGCGAATTTAACTCTGCTGCCTTGTATAGGCACATGACAGTTGTCGGGGCTTTCAATATGTGATCTTACTCCACAGGGCTATGTACTGTCGATATTTTATGTATGTAACAGGCATAGTATAATGTATACCCTGTATACTCTATTGCAAGGCTGACCTAAAATGTGCCTGTGGTCTCCAATCTACACAGTAAATTCTATGTCAGCATTAGATACATTAAACAAGTGAGGGTTTTATTGAATTAAATATGAAAATGGTTAATTCAGTCAGTACTGTATCTCCCCTGTAATTTAATTTGAGATTCAGTTTATTTTATGGTGCCCCAAATGTTTATTTACAGCATGCTGCAGACTTTTGTATCAAAACTGAGTAACTGAATAATAGAAATACCCAAGAGGGTGCTGGGAGTTTTGTCACCTGACTAGGAAACAATTGGGGGTTTTGGCCCTTGCAAAAATGTGGACGCAGTTTGGGTTTCTAGAGCAAGGGCATTAGCTAAATGTTAAAAGATCAGCAGTGCGATAGTTAACAATACTTTGATAGTGAAATTTGTAGACAATCACACTTTATTGTGTCAGGTGGTTCAGACTGAAGCGGATATTGATTTATACTTGATTCACATTTGGAACATTTTTCATCACAACCAGGCAGGCTAGAAACTTTGTTTTAAATGAAACTTTGGATTTTAGAGCCCAAGTGAGTAACTAAAGGTTTATTCTGCAACGGTTTTTTAAAAAAGCAAATTTCTAACCCTCCTGGTTACAGAGAAAAGCTGGAAAATAAGAATCCTAAAGGCTCAAAAACCAGAAGGCAAATATAAAGGATCCAAAATTCATTTTTACTTTTTAAAAACTGCATGTTTTTTAAGCTAATGTCATGATTTTGGGCAGGGGGGGGGGAGAGGGAGGAAGGGAGGCAGCGCTGACCCGTGGTTTTTGAATGCTTGGGGTTGGAAATATTGTAGCCTTCCTGCTCTCTCACAGCTCATGCAGTAGAGGCTCATACCTGAAGCTCCAGAGGTGTCCCAGGTTTGATCCTGGCCAAGGATGACCAGGGTCTGTCTGTGTTACACTTGCCTGGTGCTCTCACACACACCCTGTTACTACTCTTAGTGTAATTACATCTTATTGCCACTTGAGGTCAGCAGCTGCTGAGAAAAAGCCATCAAGTTAGCAAACACCATCTTGCTTTATTACTCCATTTTCATTTACTTTAGACTACATGAAGATGAATGTGTTCTTCACACCCATCCATCCATTAGCATTATAATTCTTCAAAAGCAGAAGACTCCTTTTGTAGGAACACAAACTTCAGTAAGTATGCTTCCTTCTGAGTCAGCACTGAGCAGTGTCCTGGGGAATGGTGCTATGGAGTGCTGCTGACTGGCTTCACAGAGCGGTCTTGGTGCCTACAGTACTAGAGAATGGTGTTCTGTATGATGTGATGGTGGTGACTCAGTACCTAGCAGTAGTAACATTTACATGATACTTTTCACAACAAGTAGGTGTTTTAACACTGGCATCGTGTCCAAATCTCAGCTCATGTATTTACTTTTTTCTCCTTTTCTTCCTGTGGTTTCATCTGATGAATCGTTTTTAATTTCCTGGCCTAAGTAGTTGTGTGGCGTTGCTAGTCAATACACACTGCGCTCCATCCCAGAAATGTCTGCATTTCAGTAGTGTGAAATTATCCCCCTGCATGAGTGATGCCAACCGATATTTCTGGAGAACCTTTCCTCCAAAGATCTCTAAGCACTGGACACACTTAACAAACAATATGTTTGGGGAGCAGTGTATTGATCACTGAAATGAATTAGGGAAAATATAGGTTAAATATTAGGAAATGCTTTATAGCTAGAAGAACAAACTGCCAAATGAGGTTGTGTAATTGCCATTGCTAGATATTTGTCAAAGCTTTACATACGCACCCATCTATCAGAGATGATTTAAGGATAGTGAAATCAGTCTTACCCCAATGCAGGGATGTTGACTGAATGAATCACTTTAGGTATATTTCACCCCAAATAATTATTTTAATGCTTCCCACCTTACACTAACCAGAGATACAACAGCAAACATGGTTTCAGCATAAAATCATAAGAAAATAGCCCCTTCCTCTCAAACATACCCCAAACCTAAATGAAAGAAGGAACATGTGATAGAAAGTAGAGCCAAAATCGATGTGACCTTTATTATTTTAACAGTATCTTTCAGCACAATTACAGAGTTACAGGGCTGCAGAGAACAGAGTGGGAGTATAAAATAACAAAAATAAATAGAACAGAAGCCAAGGAGGTCAGCAGGAGTTGGCTGGAATCAGGTGGTAAAGGGCAGATGGAGGGTTCAGATTGGTCAAAGGCTTTATGATTCAGCCACCAAAGTTATGAATTCTGGAGAAGAGAAAATTTGTTTAAAAATAGCAAGAAAAAAGTAAATTAAGGAGAAGCATGTTACAGAGGTTCACAGCGTCACTGAGACAGCAGGGTCAACTTCATTAACAACCTTTCACAATAATTGAATGGCTCATAAACCTAAATGCATCCGAGGGTCAGATTGTGGGTCAGAAAACATCACAGTGAATCTAAAACATTTTTGAGATGCCAAAGAGGGAATTCAGGATATGTCACTCCACACAGACTGCCTGTTGCTGCCTGGTTCGTCAGCCTCTTTAGTTGTGCAGTACTCCTTAGTCACAAAGTCAGTTTCCTTTCTGAACCCAACAGACGTAAGCTAATACGAAGAAGGCAAGCACTGGATATAAATTTTGTAGTGAGATGGATTCCACTCTGTCAGTGGCTGGCAGCACGTCTGAAAGACTTTTCATAGCACTTGTGCCCCAGTATTATAAATATATTAAATATAATTCATAATAATAATTGGCAAACTGACAGAGGCCAGTACATTTTAAAAGTCTAAGGCTGAGATTCCATCTGCTTTAAAACCTAGGTGAAAACTTGGCTCCTTTGAAGTCAATGGCAAAACTCCCATTGACTTCTTAGGGCCAGGATTTCACCCTGTGGCTTTTATTGCTGTGTATTTACAACTGTAATGGTTTAAAAAAATTGATGTATTTGCATTTTTTTCCTTGTATTTTGGTTAAACAATAAATCTTTCAGCAAAGATTATAAAGCACAGGAAAGGTATGTTTGCATCTCAGTAACTCTCACCACATTGAGCTTTGAATACTGTATTACCCAAGGAAATCATAATTCCTCTCTCTATACAGACTTGGGATGATGATACGTGAGAATACTGGGTAAAGTTTTGAGGACCTCAGTGTATTAAAAAAGATACTGATAAACTGAAGTGAATTTAAAGAAGGGCAACAAAGCCGATAAAGGGTTTAGAGGGCATATTCTACAAAGGGGAGGCTTAAGGGATTTTAACGTGTTCAACCTAGAGAAAATATGACAAATGCGGGATGTAACCAGCTGTAAATATGTGAGAAGAATTTACGGAAGTGCAAAATAATGAGGAGCAATGCCTTGAAATGTAAAAGTGTGGAAAATGGATCTTAGACATTAGGAAGCAGTTGCTAACAATGAGGTCAATAATGTAAGCGCAGTGACATAGTAGAGGTGTTCCAGAATGGTTTTGATAAACGCTAAAAGGCCAGCAGAGATGCCAATAGGGGTTATATTAAATCCACATGTATTAATTAATTATTCTGTAGGGTATAAATCCAAACTAGGATTAGTGGTGCAGAATATGCAACATAAAAGAGGAGTAAGGCCCAGGCAGTGGGTATGTGAACTGGAACAGTTTGACTGATGAGTTAAATGTTGCGCAACCCGGCTTAAGAGGAAGCAAAAAAGCACTTTGATGGGAACTCAGAATATTCAGGGCAGAAAGAGAAAAACTTGTGATTGCTCACATGAAGGAAGCCCATGGTGGGAAACGCAGCCTTCATATGGACAAAATCTTTCATGCCTCCATAAGGGAATACAACCGGTGTTTAATGTATATCAGATAGCACACTCAGTATATTGGCAATATTAGAATTTAATCCTTTTTCTAACATGTAGTATATATGGAATAAAATGCAAATAAATTAATCATGGTTATAGCCAGATATTTTCTAAAGTATATAGGTATATTGATGCTGTTATTGTATATCGTCAACATAATTCAAGGCTATTTATTTAATAAAATACATTATGTATATGAATAACCGATCTATATTTTACACAATGTCTATGAATGATTCCTATATTTCCAATATATCATATTTAAGTATTATAAACAAATTCCAGAGTTCTAATTATGCAAAACTTATTTTCACTTTATTCTGTAATGCTCTTTGGCCCATCAGCAGACTTTTCCTCAACATTGCAGAGGACCCAGCACAAACCCTGCGTTATTTCATTGAACTACCAAAGGTAATCTCTGTGAATTTAATATAGACTAATCATTTCTCTCTCCAAACTGGTAATAAATTATTTTGGGACACACAAGAGTGCAAAAGAGAGAAACTCATCGGAGCATTTTTTACCCCCGCCTGATTTTTCTTCTAATTTTTTTTTAACTTGGGCCAACAAATAGTTGATTTGAATTCTGAACATCTTTCATGACAGAGTTCTGAGAAAATGACTGGTAGAATCAGAAGTATTTCCAGAACCTCAGCTGGAGTGGAGCTTGAATGCATGTACTAGATAAAGGTTGTGATCTACAGATCTTTTCCCTGTAGCACATGGCTTCTGACATCACAGACCTACCAGTGTCAGGCAGCTGGAGGAACTGAAGGGTATGATTTATATGTCCAATAGCTAACACACATAAGAGATCAAAAAATGATCTCAAGTACAAAGCTTCCTTTCTTTTGTTTTCTCTTGCACCCTTGGAATCTGACCATGTGATTATGATGTCTTCCAGCTGAGGGACTGTGGAAGGCTAGACTCACCTCCCCTGAAACTGACTATGTTGCCTCAGTAGCATTCCCCCTTCAGTCTGGGAGCTGAGGTCTGGAGGATGGTCACCCTCCTAGGTAACATGGACCTGGGTTTGGAGGTTGTTTTGGTCCCTCAATTTTGACTGAATCCAATGAAAGATGAAGGGATTCGGTACCTCTCAAGAGACGGGTCAGCACCTTGCAGGAGTAGGCCCCGTGTTTTCAACACTTCTAGATTGGCAGGCCAGCCCCAAAATACAAATCTTCATCCATTTAGCTAGAAGTATAGATAAATTATTGGAATAATTCCTGAATTGTGTGTGGAAGCAGAGATGAGTTCTGAACAGCAGATCTGAGAGATCATTCCTAATCTGAGACATGTTTCTGAAGGAGGAACAGGTGGACCTGGCATGCTCAAATCAATCTTCAGACGGCACTGAATGCCACTCCTTCATCTCTCAGAACTGTTATGGGCTGCTGGGAACTACACTGAGGCGACTCAGGGGATATCCAATTCATTACCATCATCTGCAAAAGGCTGGATCTCCATAGTCAGCTAGTGATTGATGAGGCTGGTGTTTGAAGACTTGACCCAAGGGATGGACCCAGGGTGAAGGCGGACAATTCATTTATTAGAAAAAAATCCAGTGTTTCTGTAGCAGAAAATATAGCATCAAAATCGAAAAATATCAAAGCTAAGAAATAGCTGTGGGAGTTCCAACTTGCAAAGGCTTTAATGGTTGGGGAATCAGGCATATTGTGAGACAGAGCAAAGTGTCTCAAACATATTGCTTATCACCATTTCCCCTCGCTCTTTTGCTCTGTCCCCCACAACAGGTAACTTGCCACACACTCTACGCCTCAATGGTGCAAGAGTTTGCCCGTAGAGTGAGGTTCGGGAGGGAGGAGAGCTCTGGAATGTTGCTCAGTGGGGGTGTGGCCAGAAGTGTGTGAGGAAAAAGAATCTGGATCTTGATTCCCTTCGCACTTGCACTAGTGTAAATCCACAGTAACTCCACAGAATTCAGTGGACTTACACAGGTGTGAAACTGATGGGAGAGGCTCAGGCTAAGGAGATACTCCAGATTGCTCTCATAGAATAGGTCTGCTCCCAGGCATTGCTTCACTTTTTTTTTTAAATGTTGGCCACATCATTAATTTAAGAGACGCCAACACCGTTCTCTTTCATATAAGCCAAGACGAGTCTGAAATATTTCATAAGTAGAGTTTTCTTTTAACTTAACTGAGATTGCTCCTGTTTCGCAGTCGTGGAGGTATCAAGTTGGTCAACCAACTATGAGCATCCTTACAAGGATCTTCAAATGACTTGATTAGTGCAAATTGCACTCCTGTCCAGATCTCTGGGAATGGAGCCACTAATTTGAGTGGGACTAGAAAGGTTCTGTCAGTAATAAAGTATGTGAAAGTATCTGAGATTAATGACATAGAACCCTGAGTTCAAGACTGCTGTCAGCAACAGCTCGCTTTGCTCATATGCCACTGTGACCTAATCAGGGCCTGAGAACTTAAGAGGATTTAGCCTAGAAATAGGCTCATAGACATTCTTCTACTGGTGTGCTGTGGTCAGGCAGCTAAGCGTATCTTATTTGTCACCTCTCTCATTGGGTAATTTTGTATGTCATCCCTTCTGTTTCTACCCTATAAACTGTGAGATCATGTTGGGTAACCTCACTTTGTCTTGTATTTTGCACACCATTTGAAGACAACACCTTTATAAATCCAAGAGAACGGATAATACTAAGAGACAGGACTATCTGAAGGAAAAATCGAGATGTTTCTAGTTTTCACCCTATCAAAGGGGCTGTCAGGATGATGGGAGGTTACAAAGTGATTTTCTACTGCTGAGCTGACATAATGCTCTGGGTAGAACTCCCGCTTCCACCTCCTCTCTTATAATGGAGGGAAAGGGTTCATTTGGACCTGCACATCTTCATATCTGTTCCAACGAGCTTCAGTAATGTGGAGGAGAGAAAAGAAGAGGGAAAGGGAGAAATGCAGTCTGTGGACTTGTTTGATAAGAAGTTGCCAGGAAGAGCAAAATATCAGTTTCCAAATTTCTTGTGCCCCTTTCTTGTAAGCCTGATGATATAATCTTGATAGTTAATGAAGTTAAATGACAGGTTTCCCCATTTTCCTGTGAAGATTATTGGTGCCACACATATTGTGGGAACTTGGATACACAGTGATGGCATGAAGGTTACACAATGAACTTATTCAATGCTGAATGTTAAGAATTTGCTTTGCTAAGCCATCAGAAGTCTTGCGTCACGTTCTCATTTAAGTGAAACGGCATATTTTTTAATCAAGGAGCAATGCTGCTATTCAGCTGCTCTCTCGCTCTCTCTCCCTGCCTCCAAATTCAGCTTCTGTAAACTCTGAGGGCCTGATCCTGAACCCATTGCAACCAGTGGAAAGACCCCACTGACTTCAGTGAGGGTTGGATGCGGCCCTGTAGCTCTCTGCCCTGTGAGTGCCTTTGCTGTCTCCCATCCTGTGCTAAATCTGGGTTTCTATGAACTCCTGCTCTCTCTAGTGTTGGGACTCAGCTTCTGCACCAAGGAAGGTACCAAAAATTTAGCAAGCCCTGAAATGTAACTAAGTCCTAATCTGCCCTCCACAAGGTCACAACTGGCAATGAAGCCTATGGTGCTTATACCTCTGTACTAGGGGCAGAATTTGATCCTCCCTGAAGCCACCTACCATCAATGCCGATTTTGCCATCGCCATCCTTATCTCCAGCAGCCAGGAGTGTCTTGGTTTCTTTATCCGATAGGTCTCTGCCATTAGGGGTGAAGCCCTTCAGTACAAATCTAAAGAAAAGGCATGGAACAAAGATGAGGCTGGGTCAGTAGGGTTTAACATTCCTGGTTTGTAGAGATGACTAGCAGTGGTGTTGAGACATGCAATTGAATCCAGGGACCTGGCCCCGGTTGGTGACCTTCTTCACCACACAGAAAGAACGAGTGCTGTCACCTGGAACTGTCTGAGATGGAGGAGTTGTAGTTAGACTACAGATCACCCACATAAAAGTTAGATATCTTTCTCTCCACACACATTTGATCCTACTTTTAACTGTTTACTCCCCCTGCTGAACCATGCAAACAACTGGACACTGCCCAAGACAGGGCAGTCAGGAGTCTGAATGGGACCCCGTACTAGGGTGTGTTTTACTCAGGTGAAAATATGAACACATCCTCTTAATGTAAGGACAGAGGGAGGACTCGTCCTGCTTACTTCAACTCGTCCTCCTCAATGAAGCCACTTCGATCTTTATCAAGAATGTGGAAAACCTTCTTTACATCTTCCTGGCTCTTCTTTTTCAGTCCCACCATTTCAAAGAACTTCTTGTGGCAGAAGGATTCGGCAGCTGCGGGAGAAGAAGAGTGAGGCTGGGTTAATTGTAGGTTGGTTCCTGAGGCACATTGGTATAGATGCTCCTGATTTTCTCCCTCTCTGCCACAAAGAGCCCTCCTTCTTAATCCTACCCCTAGAGGCCACAAGGTCAGGGGCTCCATTGTGCTAGGCCTTGTACATATACAGAGCAATATGCAGTCACTGCCCCAAAGAGCTTAAACTCTGAATAGACAAAGGGTGAGAGACAGTGCCCCCGCTGTACAGAGGGGGGGAAGTAATTTACTCTAGGTCATCCCTAGAGGCAGTGAGGGAGCTGGGAATTAAACCTAGGTCTCCTCCCTTCCCATCCAGTGCCTAAACTGTGAGATCTCCCAATCAGGCGTAAGAGCGTTCACCTGAATCCTGAACTGGAATCAGAATGTACCGAACATATTTTTAAAACTTCCTGTTTTGGAAATCAAAGTTCTGCCCCGCTCAGCCGCGCAGGCTGACAGGATAAGGCCTATCTCTAGTTTATGGTGACATCTCCCGTTTCCTCGTTTCCCACACGGAGCCAAAGGGACATGCAGAAGTAGTTTGTATTCTGGGGCACGGTCCGAGGGACTGCTGTGCTGCATGGCCCCTGCAAGATCGTGTGCTGCACAAGTAGGGGGGAAAGATGAGGTTATCTGGTCCACTTCTCCCTTCCCTCACCAGCACCTCCACCCATATGGAGCCCTATAACAATGTGGGCTGGAGAGATGTTAGGGGAAATCAAAGTGCAGTGGGCTTCCGTGTTTGCAAAGCACCCTTATTCCACTAGCAGCATCTCTGGGTCTACAGCAGCATAAAGGGGTTCGGTCTCGTGGGAGCTGCTTGAGTCCTTAGCCGTAGCTAATTCCACCCGTGGCAAAGAGCCCGGGGACTTTGTGACGGCACTAGAACTATGGAGGGAGCTGCCCGAGCGAAGAGCGCGCGGCCCGATGTCCCTTCAGCTCCGGGCTGCTGAGTTTCCCGGCTGGGCGCTGTGTGTGTGTGTGAGGGGGGAAGGTCACCTCGCGAGCAAGAAGAAAGAGGCTTCCCCCTTTGCAGGCTGGAAAGAGAATTTTAGTTCTGGGGGCTTGGATCGTGTTCACCCGAGAACACGGATCCCGACACTTGCTTGGCAGAAGCCCGAGCCGGAGATGCAAGGGCATGCGGTTTATTTGGGGGTCACCTGTCGAACGCTGGCGGAGAGAAATGGGGAGAGTTTGAAACGGGAGGCATCGATCTGTGCCTGAAGTATGGAGCACTGCAGCCATCTGTCCTGCGGGAAGCTTCTGCAACCCAGCAGGCTGATCTCTCTCTCTCTCTCTCCATCTTCAGCCTGAAAAGCAAAACCCACATGGGGGGCCCCCTAACAGGACAGACCTCAGCAGTTGCGTCTGCCACTGAAACAAGAACCGAGAGCTCTGCAACGCCGGGGACTAGATTTGGGGGAGGCTGGGGGGAGCTGCGGGATGTCCCCCAGGCTCTGTTCCCCACCCCCAAGGCATGCCCTTCCCTAGTGTGGCTACAGCTTTGTTCCGTTTGTAAATATCTCGTGCCTAGGAACCAAGCCTGCTTTTGCTACCTACTTCTCCTTAGAATGAATGGAGCGTGTCACGTCTCCAGTGTCCAGGGGAAGTTTGCAGAGGACACATCCCTGGGGTTAATAAGCCCGACGTGCTCAGGTTGCACTTTCCTCCCCATCCCCGTCTGATGGTTTATCCAGCCGGCTCCTCTGACCATCCCCGAGCTGAGCACAATTGCACCACAGCCCCGCACTGAGACAGAGGAAAAGCCACTCACCCGAAAAGGCTCCCACAGCCGCCTTGATCTCCTCCGCGCTGAGCAGGTCTGTCATCGCCATCCTGTCGCTGGGTGAAGGGAGAGGCGAGTGCGAAAAGATTAAAAAGTGCCTCTCTCATCATTCCTGCGCATATGACCCAAGCTGCAGTGCCGGCTGGGGACGGCACACCGGGAAGGGCTGGACCCGTGCCAGCTAGCGCCCCCCCCTCGGGGGGGAAGTGCCGCTAGCCCGTTTGCACCGCCCGAAGTGGGCCGCGGAAACAAGCACTCTGGGGCACGGGTGTGGGTGGCTGTGGATGGGGGGTGGGGGGCACTTCTTTGGAAAGCGGGAGACTAACCCCCCTGGAGCAGCGCCAGGGGCCGATCTAGGCTGGCAGAGGAGTTGTGTCAAGGGCAGACTCCCTCCCGGGTGCAGTGGGAGCGAGCGAGTGGTGCAGCGCGGGTACATCGGACGGGAGCTGTCCCCGTTCCACGGGGCGGCGAGGAGCGCGGCACTGCAGCAGATGCCCCGTGGCAAGCCGCGCGCGAGCTGGGGGGGCGGATGGACCGTAGCTTCCCAGCACCTGCCTTAGCTGGAGCCGCTTCTCCCTCCCCCCGGTGCCTTTCAGCCCTCGGTTCTTTGGGAGCCCCCCGTGTTAACCCGCCCCCGGGCTGAATTCTTCACCCCAGCCCTGTACGTGACTCCGAGCCCGGGTTTGAGGCCCAACGCGCCAGACACGAGGATAGGGTGAAGCTAGAGGTGCTATAGTAACTATGCTGATGTGCGGGCCTGCGGGCGCAGCCTGCTGAGGCTTTGTGCTGCACTGTGAGCACCGGCACAGCCGCCCGGGAAGTTTGTCTGGGTTTCCTGGTAAGCGACTTGCCCACTGCTGTCACAGGAATGATCCACCCGACCTCCCTCCGCTGCAGCGCAGGGTGCCGGGGGCGCTGAAGAGCGGGGACAGCCCCTGTCAGAGCGCTCTAGGGCAGATCCGTGCGGGAGGTGCCGGGGGCGCTGAATTGTGAGGACACTAGGGCAGATCCGTGCGGGAGGTGCCGGGGGCGCTGAATTGTGGGGACACTAGGGCAGATCCGTGCGGGAGGTGCCGGGGGCGCTGAATTGTGAGGACACTAGGGCAGATCCGTGCGGGAGGTGCCGGGGGCGCTGAATGGTGGGGACACTAGGGCAGATCCGTGCGGGACGTGCCGGGGGCGCTGAAGGGTGGGGACACTAGGGCAGATCTGTGCGGTAGGTGCCGGCACCTTGGCTGCACATCGAGTAACTAAAACAAGGGCAGGGGCGTGTCATGCATTCCAGCACAGCTGCTGGCCCGACCCCGCCACTCCTTCCCGTTGAAGGCAACGGGGTGGCTGCGCTGCGTAAGATTTTGAGGGATCATCGGGCCCAGAGACGAAAGAGGCTTCGGGAGAAACTTTGTTCATCCTCTCAATGACTCCTTCTCATCTGCTTCGTAAGGGAACAAGCCCCTCCCCGCCCCAAGTCCAGGTATAGTTCTCGTCCCGTATAACGCCACTGAGCGCACGGAGCGGGGAGCGTTAAGATGTTGGGGTCCTTTTGTTTAACAACGGCGTCACCTCACTGCAGGACGGACGGTGGGTTGAATCTTTGACACCGTCCCTTCCCCATTTGGTGTATTTGCTCGTGGCAGGAGCGAGTCACTCCTTTCTCCGCAGGCAAACCACAGCCCCGCGCACAGAGGGCGCCTGGGTGTCTGGGTCAAGCCCTGAGCAGCTCTCCCCTAAGCAGCGGCTAAAGCGGACCCATATGGCGCCGGTCTTGTGCCAAACCTAAAGTGCAGCAGCGCGAATCAGACTCGGTTCAGTTTCCCTGTCCTGTGCTCCGACCCGAGCGAATTCTCTCGCCTCCCCCCTCGCTCCTTTGAAGAGCCGGGGCGCTACGAAGACATTTGCCAGGTCGATCGCAGCTGCATTTGGCCCTGAGCAAAGATCAAGAGGGTGACAAAGTCTTCCCCCATCAATCGCGCCGACTTTTAGCCTATGCCACGCGTCCCTCAGATTTCATCCCAGCGACCCCCAGCCATTTAGGAGAAACAGCAAAACGCCCCTGACAGATCTCCAGAATTCAGCAGCTGCTCACATCCTCTCCTCGGCACTTGCATACCAGAGAGAAGCCCCTGCTTGTGTCCCCTGGGAGAGGGCCCTGGTGGAGGGGCCCTGGAGGCTCTCTCCAGTCGGCTGCTACCCACAAAGTAGCCGGGTGCTAAACAGCTGTTTCTCCCCCTGCCTTGCAACTCGGGGTTTCTCCCCCTCCGTGGCTGAGGCTCACTGGTCCCTTGAGTCATAGAGCCTTCTTTGGGGCCAGGGTGCACCCCGGGCTAGCAGCAGGCAGGCAGGCAACAGCCCATGATGTAAATATAAAGTAACAATAAAGCCACCACCACCAAGCAATGCAGACAGCCCCCTGGCAACAACAGCCAGCCTGCACCCCGCTGCCCCAGGTACAGCAGCTGCTGGGCAGAAACCTGGGACTCCCTTGCCAGAAAGGATGGAGCACTCTGCAGAGCATCCAAACGGCTGCCCTGAGAGGCAGAGGGAGCTGAGGTTTAAAGAGCCAATTTCCTTTCTGCAACAGGGGGCTTTGGTGTGTAAGGTTTGCTAACGGGTCTTGCGGGAGATGCTGTTGTTTGCACCACCCTTCCCTTTCCCCCCTCCCATTTCCCCCTTGCTTTCCCTTCATTGCCCCGACTACGTAGTCATTTCCCCCTCCACAAGGCCATGTCCCTCCTCCTCTGTAGTCTTCCACCTGCAGGCAGTTGGTTCGGAAGAGGGGCTCTCTGCTATCTCCCTTTGCTGTTATTTATGGGGGCGGGGGTGGGTTTCCCCTTGTTTTCCCTCAGGCTGAAGTCCTGCTCTCCCCCTCTGCCAGGACGAATCGATCCTTGCTATGGAAGTGGGTGTGTTGTTCGCTACTTACCTTCTGAATGCTCCTAAGTGCTGTGTGAAGGGCTGTTAGATTTGGAGGTGGCCAAAGGAGGTGACAGCCAGGCTGGGAACCCCACTTATATAAGCTCCTGGCCTTTTCTATTTTCGGCGGGTGATACCCCCTCCTCACCGGTGTCAGCTACCCAGGGACACACTCAGTATCACATTCTCCTCCCCCCCTAGCTAATCAAGGGGCACTATTAATAATCCTTGGCACCCATCTTCCCCTAGCTCCCGAAACCTGTTCCCTTGGCAGACTGGCAAGCGACGCTTTTATTGCGGAGTTTGTAGCGCTAAGGGTTCAGTTTGACATCTGGGACGAATGGCTCCCTCAGTGATTGCCGAGAGCCCTGTTTAGAAGGGGAGCCCCAGGTGAAAGGGGCCCCGCTGTAGCTGGGAAGAAAGGGGTGGGAAGATGTACCCTACTCAAGGCGGCATCAGAGACTAAGGGGAAGCAGGTTTAGGGATCAGGGATCCTGTCACTTCCTTGTCTGCTGCCTTGGCAAATGCCCTCTTCTTACAAGAGGCAATAAGGTCTTCCCCTCCCCAAAGCCGGCCTACACTGAAAGTGTTACTGCTTGACCCTGATTTCCTTGCTAAGGTGGAATCCTGCTCTCAGACAAGACTGAGCCACAGTGAATAATCTTCTTTAAAGAGACAAGGTGGGTGAAGTAATATATTTTATTGGACCTACTTCTGTGGGGAGACAAGCTCTTCTTCAGCCCCCCTTTAACACAGAAGGGCCAGGAAATGGAGCTGTCTCATCTCGATCCACAGCTATCTTCTGGCAGGTGCTCATTACTATTGATTTATTGACTACTTTATATAGTTAGTAAAATAAGAATAATAATTAAGTGCCACTGAGCCCCATGTGCCCTTCAGTATTTTGGGGCGGGCACTTCCCTTTGCTATTTTCATTTCCCCTGGCGTTTTTACAGAGGCTCCCTAATCACACTGATCTATCTTCTGGATGTTTGTTGCTGAAAAAAAGGCATCTCTTTTCTTTTATTTCAGGGCTTGTTAGCCAACTGCTCTCAAGTGCAGAACCTACACAGGTTGCTGGGAAATGGTCAGCCCCATCAGTAACACATCTGGAGCTCTCCTCTGGGGAGTTATTTTCCTGGTGTGAGTGCTGGATTCCAGAGGGGAGGGAACATAACAGAGGTATAGGCAAGGGAACTGGACCCAAATACTGCATCAAAGCCCTCTAGTTTCTGCATCACTCTGGTGCTGGATTTGGTGGCACACTGGAAGTTCTTCAGCAGCTTGAGACAATTTCAAAAGCAGACGTTATATGGAATCAGCTCTGAAGCTCAGTTGAGTGTTCCTTGGGTTATTTATCACATATTCACTTTCTTGTACATACCCTTGAATTTCCAGTGCACCACAGAATTTAGTTCAGACAATGGTAGGATGGAGATGCTGTTACATTTTGGGGGTAATCCTGAACTCCTTGTTCCTCCCTCCAGCACCCAGCTGCCCCACTGCCCTGGCTCTGGGTGGAGGAGATGGTGTATCTAGTCATTTTATGATTTAGCTGATGTTTATGTTCTTGAATGTTTCCCTCAGGTGGGATGGCCACTAATGCAGCATGGACCCACAATGTGCCCTTTGCTGAAACCTGCAATGTGGAGTTTGTTACTCATGTCACCAATTCCTACCTGACTGATGTGGTAACAAGAGTAAATGCTGATTTGGGGATGCCAGCATCCTCTTGGGTGTTTGTAAGAGGTTCTATACCCCCTCCTCTTGGCAGCTAGCAGGGCAGCCTTTCCCTCTTATTTTCTTCTTTTAACTGGTTTGAGGAGATGGGGGCTGTATGTCTTTCCTCCTGGCCTGTGGCTTACCTGCCCTTCTCCTTCCTTCCATCTGGCATGATGTGTGTCTTGGTCCACCAGTGGGGACTGAGAACCCAGCCGCTAATGCAGAGCAAGTGGAGTGCTAGTCAATGTGATTGCCTTGTTTAGTCCAGCAGTGTGAAAGCCACACGGATTAGAGGAAGAAACTGAAATCCTTTCTTATCCATCAAGGTGGTTTCTACTGAAGCCTATTCACAAAAAGGGAAGATAATCCACACCCTGCTGTCAACAGACAGAGAGTGAGGACACTGTCAGATGCTAATTTACCTGACAATAGTTTATTAACTAATATTTTTTCCACTTGGTGAGATTGAGATGCAGACCCAGACTCCTCTGGGTCACTGCTATGAATCCAGCCCAGGTCCAGAGTCACTGAATGTTATTAGAACCTGACATTTGATCAGAGAAAGTTTGCCTATATGAAATTAGTTGGGTAGGGAGGGTGTCTCATCACACTAATCAATAGACCTGTAGCTGCCACCTCAGCCGGCGGTTTCAGGAGAGGTCAAGAACTGAGTAGGCCTTGGAAACTGAATTCACTTTTCTCTTTTAGAGTATGTCTTCCTTGCAGAGTTAACTTGGGCTCTTACTTGGGTGTTTCCCCTGGGCTCCCTACCGTCCACACACACCAACCTCTGAGCTAGGTTTGGAGGTGCTTTAAACCGGAGTTAACTGACCCAGCTGAGA